CTGTTACCCAGGCTGGAGTACAGTGGCATGATCATGACTCACTGCAACTCAGCCTCCTAGGCTCAAGTGATCTTCCCACCTCAGCCCCCTGAGTAGCTGGAACTACAGGCACATGCCACCACTACTGGCTAATTTTTGTTTGTTTGTTTGTTTTTTTGTAGAGATGGGGTTTCGCCATCTTGCCCAGGCTGGTCTTGAATTCCTGAGCTCAAGTGATCATCCCACCTTGGCCTCCCAAAGTGTTGAGATTACAGGTGTGAGCCACTGTGCCGGGCCTACAATTCTTTTGTTAATTTTATTCTTAGGTATTTTATTCCTTATGATGCTATTATAAATGGAATTGTTTTCTTAATTTTATTTTTAGAATGTTTATTGCTGGAGTATATAAATAAAATTGACTTTTGTATATTGATCTGGTATCTTGTAACCTTGCTGAGCTCATTTATTAGATTTAATAGTTTTTAGTGGATTTCTTAGGATTTTCTATATATACAAGATCATTTCATCTGAGAATGGAGATAGTTTTAATTCTTCCTTTCTAATCTGGATATCTTTTTCTTCTTTTTCTTGCCAAACTCGGGTCAGATCCTCCAGCACAGTGTTGAATAGAAGTGGTAAGAGTGGACATCCATGTCATATTTCTTTCATTTTTTTTTTTTTGAGACAGGGCCTTGCCCTGTCACCCAGGCTGAAGTGGCACAATCTCAGCTCACTGCAACCTCTGCCTCCTGGGTTCAAGCGATTCTTCTGCCTCAGCCTCCCACGTACCTGTGATTACAGGTGTAAGCCACCATGCCCTACTAATTTTTTGTATTTTTAGGGTTTTTTTTTTTTTTTGGCCATTGTTTTTATTATTGATGGGTGTTTTGCCATTTTGCCCAGGCTGGTCTTGAACTCTTGGCCTCAAGTGATCGACCTACCTTGGCCTCCCAAAGTGCTAGGATTACAGGTGTGAGCCACTGCGCCCAGGACTCCTTGTCATGTTTCTGATCTTAGGCAGAAATCATTCAAGTCTTTTACCACTAAGTACAATGTTGTCAGTTTTTCATAGATGACCTTTATCAGGATGAAGAAATTTCCTTTTACTTCTAGATTGTTAATTGTTTCCATTATGAAGCAATGTTGGTTATTGTCAAATTTTTTTGGCATCTGAGATGGCCATGTTATTTTTATCATTTATTCTACTGATTTGGTATATTACATTGATTTTTCTGTGTTGAACTGACCTTGCTTTCTTGGCATAAATACCACTGATTTGTGGTGTATAATTCTTTTTATATGTTCCTAGATTGAGTTTGCTAGTATTTTTTGCACCTGTATAAAAGAATTATTGGTCTATAGTTTTTTTTTTTTTTTTTTTTTTCTTTTCCTGGTGCTGTCTTCTGGTTTCATATCAGAGTAATACTGGTCTCATAGAGTTTATGTTTTTTGGAAGTTTGTGAAGGCTTGATGTTAATTCTATGTTAAGTGGTAGAATTTACCAGTGAAAACATCTGAGCCTGAGATTTTCAATGTGAGAAGTTTTTTGATCATTAATTCAATCTCAATCTCATTACTTTCTTGGGTATTCGTATTTTCTGTTTGTTCTTAAGTCAGCATTGATAGTTTGTATTTTACTAAGTATTTGTCCACTTCATTTAGGTCATCTAATTTGCTGGCATATACTTATTATGCTGGCATATACTTACTATGCCTTTACAATCCTTTTTATTTCTCTTATGTTAGTGATAGTGTCTCCTATTTTATTACAAATGTTAGTCATTTGATCATTCTCTTTTTTCTCCCTGCGGGGCAATGTAGCTAAAAGTTTTGCTAATTTTGTTAATCTTTTCAAAGATCCAACTTTGGATTTAATTCCTTTTTCTCTATTGTCTTCTATTATTTGTTTCATTTGTTCCAACTCTATTCTTTATTATTTCCTCTAAGCACTGCTTTAGCTGCCTCCCGTCAATTGTAGTAGGTTTTGTTTTTGTTTGCATTCCCATCAATATGTTTTCTTGTTTTTCCTGTGATTTCTTCTTTGACTCATTGGTTATTTAGGGCTCTGTTGTGTAATTTCCACATGCTTGTGAATTTCCCAAATGTGTCTCTATTATTGATTTATAATTTCATTTCATTGTGACTGGAGAACATATTTAGTATAATATGAATTCTTATATATATAGAAACTTGTTTTTTGTCCTAGGATATGTTGATTCTGGAGAATGTTCCATATGCATTTGATAAGAATGTATCATAAGAATGTATGTTTTTCTGTTATTGTTTGGAGCATTCTATAGATTTTAGCTAGGTCTAGTTGGTTTATAGTGTTGTTCAGTGCTTCTATTTCTTTGTTGATCTTTTGTTTAGTAGTTCTATCTCTTATTGAAGGTGGGATTTTTAAATCTCCAATATTTTTTTGAATTGTGTGTTTCTCCCTTTAAGTATGTCAGTTTTTACTACATTTATTTTGCAGTTTTGTTGTTAGCAGAGTATATGTTTTTAATTACTATGTATTCCTGATTGACCCTTTTAACACTATAAAATGTCTTTCTCTGTCTCTAGTAACAATTTTGTCTTAAAGTTAATTTTGTCTGATATAAATTTAGCCACTCCAGCTTCTTTTGGTTATTGGTTGTGTGGTATGTCTTTTAGTGTTATTTTACTTTGTCTTTGAATCAAAAGTGTGTCTCTTACAGACAGGAGATAGTTAAATAATTTTTTGTTTGTTTTTGTTGTTATTGTTGCTTTTTATTTATTTATTTACTATTTTAAAATTAATACATGTTAAATGTACATATTTTGTGGGTACATTTGATAATTTGGTACATTCAGATAATCATATCAGGGTAATTGGGATATCCATCACCTTAAATATTTATCTTTCTTTTTTTTTTTTTTTACTCTAGGAACATTTAAATTATTCTCTTCTAACTATTTGGAAATGTATAATTGATTAATGTTAACTATAATCACTCTACTGAGCTATCAAATACCAGGTAGTATTTCTTTTACTTAAGTATATATTTGTACCTATCAATCAACTTCTCTTTACTTCCCTTTTCCCCTACTATTCCCAGCCTCTGGTTATTGCCAGTCTTCTCTCTATTTTCATGAGATCTACTTTTCGTCAGTCACTCTGTCTTTTGATTGGAGTATTTAATCCATTTACATTTAATGCAATTGCTGTTAAATAGAATTACATTTAATGCAGTTACTCCTAAGCAGGAATTAAGTCTGCAAGTTTGTTATTTATATCCATATGTCTTTTGCCCTTTCTGTGTCTCTATTTCTCCATTGCTGTTATATTTGTATTAATTAGATATTTTCTAATATGCCATTTGAAGTCCCTAAGACTGCTGATTTCCACGGCAATTCTGATTTTTATACTATTGGTTCTTAAGGCTACTGTAGAGCTAGATAGCGATGGGAATAGGCCAAGACAGAACACCACAAACCTCATTGTCCTTATGAGATTCATATGTTTTCCTTGAATAATCACTTCTTGGATTGTTTTGTGCCATTGGTTAATTTCAGATTTTTATTTATTTATTTATTTATTTATTTATTTTTGAGACGGAGTCTCACTCTGTTGCCCAGGCTGGAGTGCAGTGGCACGATCTTGGCTCACTGCAAGCTCTGCCTCCCAGGTTCACGCCATTCTCCTACTTCAGCCTCCCGGTTAGCTGGGACTACAGGCATCTGCCAGCATGCCTGGCTAATTTTTTGTATTTTTTTTGTAGAGATGGGGTTTCACCATATTAGCCAGGATGGTCTCAATCTCCTGACCTTGTGATCCACCTGCCTTGGCCTCCCAAAGTGCTGGGATTACAGGCATGAGCCACCGTGCCCGGCCATCAGATTTATGGATAAGTTGATTTTGACAATTTTTGCAGGTGTTCCTATTGCTTTTAAGGAGGCATGATTTTCAAATGTTCATTCTCCACCATTCCAGAAGTGCTCTGGGAATTCCTTGAAATCTACTTTCCATTCTTTCTTTTGACTATATTCTCTGAATATTACTTTTTGGAAAAATAAATTTCTGTTCTTGTTTTCCACACCAAGTAGCCAGGATATTTTACTTCTCTCCAGATATTAAAAGTTAAAATTTTTTTCCCCTGTAGTCTCCATTTCCTCTTATTTGCTTCAGCCTCTTTGTTTTCCCTCCCTATGTTAGAATTTTATTCATACAAAATGACATCTATAGTAGCAACCATTTATTGAAGAGTTACTATGTGCCTCCTCACTTACTCTTCTCAGTGCCTTAAACATATTAACTTATTTCATCTTCACATTAACTCTTAGAAGTCGGTGCTATAATTTCCCCAATTTTTTTAGATACTAGAGCTGAGACTTAAGAAGTAACTCATCTAAAGTCATATGGCATTAAATTGCGAGCTGAAATTCAGGTCCAGTCTGACACCTATATCTTCTTTATCAGATATCAGTTCATCCTTGGGTTATCTGCTTACATTTACCAGTGGGATTTAAATACTTTGAACATATGGGTGGGCCTTGTTGACAGTTGGGTGTCTGGTGCAATCTGTAGGGTAAGTGTGGTGCTTCTTGACTTTTCTTACTGCTGTTTGGAATTAAACTTATTCTTTTCTGCTAGTCAATTATCACTTGTCTATCAGCTCTTCATCCTCCAAGATTTTATTTGTTTATGTTCTCTTTTTCTTGCATTTGTGAATTTATGCCTTTGGAGATAAAGGTTTGCTATCATTTTAGTAGGCCTTTGGAAAGAATTAGAATTATATGCATGTTTTCAATACATTGCCTTTTTAATTATTTTAAGCATACTTAAATATAATCTTTGGCTGTTTCGTTATCTGAAGTTGCTGGGGTCTATCCTTCTGTTTATTTTATCTGCTGATTTATCAGAATACTAGATTTTCCTTTTGAGCTCTATAATTTTATCTTGCACGAGCATCCTCAGTGGGGCTTTATCCATGGGATTCCTGTGTGGTTTGGGCTGAGTCTTTCTCCATCTAGATAAGTTTCTCATTTTCTTTTGCCAGGTGTTCCAGGACCACTTTTTATGTTAATTTCTTGCCTCAGGAATATGGGACTGTGCAAGGACAGAATACAATAAAACCCAAAGTCATGAGAAGGTAGGCTTCTGGCTAAAAATTTTCAGGGGAGATTTTTCCTCACTACGTATGCCTGGAATGTGGAACCAGACCAGCCTCCTTTTTACGTCCCCGTTCCGGTGGACATCTGAAAAACCATTTCACTGAGAATGCAGCTTCTCAGGGGCCTGAATTAAGGATGAGCATCTGATTTTCAAATCTCTGTTGCTCATAGATTCAAGGTCTTATCTCCTATGTGTGCAGCTATTAAAAGAGAAGCCCCTGGGCTGACTAAGACCAGACTAACCCCTTTCCCAGGGCACCAAACCGGGGCGATGTGGCACCATCTGTCTGAGTTCCTTCCATATTCATTTTTGACCCCTAGGGATCTTCATTATTTTCTTGTGAGCTCAGATATACATTTAAAATAATCCTTGTGATATTTTAAACAGACTATGTATGTGTTTTATAGCAAGATAATTTTTATGTTATCTGATTTATTTGCTTGATGTCCTAAAATCAACCTTTTTTGAATTATTTTGTGTATACTCAATGGATCTTATCCTTACATTGAAAGTATGTATAATTTTTCTTTTATGGCTGCTCAAAGAATGTATTTTTAAGGCAGTCTAATGGGATTTAGGACCAGATCAATAGAGGTCAATAAAGGTCATAATAGTTTCTTTGTGTTCTGTGCTGGCTAGCCTAACTGGAACATGGCATTTTGTTCTGGATGCTGTGATTTCCAGAATATTAACAGACATTTGGTATGTTATGACAGGGAGTTAGGATGGTGAGGCATCAGGATATTATATCATTTGAAGAATGGTTTAAGATACTAGAAATTTACCTTGGAGAAGAAAAAACTTGAGAGGATGCAATAAAATCTTTCATGGAAGACCAATTAGATTTATTCTTTGTGTCTTTAGAAGACTTTACAACACTTGGAAGTTATAGAAGAAGATCAATTTGGGATTGATAGCAGGAAAACCTCTCTCTAAATAGAGGCATCTGCACATAAAAAGCTCACCTTACAGGTAGGTGATGACTTTGTCCTTTACCCATCATCTGCAGGACAAACAGATATTATCTTATCTATAGTAGTTAAGATCACAGACTTCAGAATCAGATTACTTGGGTTCGAATTCTAGTTTTACAGGGTATTAGTTTTATGACTATGGGCAGTTATTTAACCTTTCTGAGCCTGTTTGTCTATCTGCAAAATGATGTACTCACAGTAACCTATGTCATAGGGTCTTTGTAAAATTTAAATGGGGTAATACATATAAAGCTGTTAGAATATTGTACAGCATATGGTAAGCCCTGAAAAGGTGTTTACCAATATTATTATCATTATCATCTGTCAAGGATGTAAAAGAATGTATAGAATCAAAACCTCACAGAACACTGGAGTTGTGAGTGACTGCAAGAGTTTCCCTTTAGCTGCTGTAACAAATGATCACAAACTCGGTGGTTTAAAACAACAGCAATGTCTCTTGACCTTGTGATCCGCCCACCTCGACCTCCCAAAGAGCTGGGATTATAGGTGTGAGCCTCCGCACCCAACCTGGCCAACATGGTGAAACCTGTCTCTACTAAAAATACAAAAATTAGCTGGGTGTGGTGGCGTGCGCCTATAGTCCCAGCTACTTGGGAGGCTGAGGCAGCAGAATCACTTGAATCTGGGAGGCAGAGGTTGCAGTGAGCCAAGGTTGCACCACTGCAGTCCAGCCTGGTGACAGAGCGCGACTCCATCTCAAACAACAACAAGAACAACAACAACAGTGATGTATTCTCTCACAGTTCTCGAGGCCAGAAGTCTGATATGAGTTTTGAAGGGTCAAAATCAACATATCAGCTGGGCTGTGTTTCCTCTGGAGGCTCTGGGAGAGTGTTCCTTGCCTTTTCCAGCTTTTGATGGCTGCCAGTATTCCTTGCCTCATGGCCACATTAATCTCTACCTCTACATCCCATTGCCTTCTCTTCTGGTTGGACTCAGATCTCTCTCTATCCCCCTCTTGAAAGGGCACTTGTGATTAGATTTAGGACCCACCTGAGTAATTCAGGATAACTGGTCCATCTCAACATTTTTAACGTTATGATATTCACAATGTCCTTCTTTTTTTTTTTTTCTTTTTGCCATATGAGGTAACTTTCACAGGTTGCATGGATTAGAATGTGAATATCTTTTGAGGTTTATTTTTCAGCCTACCCTTATGGACATCAAAGTAATATATTCTCTATTTGAAGAACACCCCTGCAACATCTTGAGCAAGTTTTACAGCCTCCTCTTGAGTAATATCAGTGTTGGGAAACTAATAGATTGTGCTATAATAACCTTTACACTCTTTTCCTATTCTCAAGAATCTACAGTTTTGGAATTATTGTTTTTAAAATTTCTTTTGCAGTCTGGTTTTTATTTGCTTACATTCCATTTGTATAATCTATCTCTATATTAAAAAATGTGCTAAACTCAGGTAAATTTATCCCAATCCATGCCTGAATAGTTATTGAGGTTTTTACAGTGACCTGTCACATTTAAAATAAGGGAGGTATATTAATCAACATTTTATATTTGCAAGTGTCAAAAAATAAGTGACTTAAGAATTAATGGAAATTTATTGGTTCACATAACAAAGAAATCTGGGAACAATTATAGCTTCAGCTGGATCCTGGTACTTAAACAGTGGCTTGGTTGCTCCAGACTTGATCTCGCCATCTCTGAGTGCTGGTTCGTTTTGATTGATTTTATTCAGCTAGTTAATACTAAGATGGCAAGGTGATCACTGGCAGATCCAGGCAACCATGCTATCTTCTAAGAACCTCAGTGGAAAGAGCTCAATATTTTCAGTGATTTCTAGAATTTGCATTCATTGGGCTGACCAAGTCTTAAAGCCAACCCTGGATAGAGCCAGCTCCATCCAAACTGCAGGGACATAGAGTAAGGAGTAACAATTCTCTTTTTAAAAAAGATTAAAAACCATTATCAGAGGAAAGGAAAATATTTGCTGGTCAGGCCACAATAACAGATGTGATATGCAAAACACAACATGTAACATACAAAACATCACATATGCTATATATTATCATAGTTTCAACTCTAAGTTTTGCCTGAGGCTTATGGAGTCAATCCCATTGCTCTATAGTCATGTGTCAGGCTCTGTGTACACTTGTGTTTGTTTATATTGTAGATAAAATTTACCAGATGGGAAAAATCCATCAGTGCTGCCTAGCCAGTAAACTGGCCTGGTGGAAGTGATCAGAGGATGTGGGTAAATTTATCTTTGAACAAATGAATTAAATATGCACAGTAAATGGTTTAATGCGCAGCAAGAGAGTGCCGCCTAATCGTTGGGGAAGAAAGCAGAGCCAGCAGAGCAGCAAGCCTCACGCGGTCATTCCTACAGTGGGGTCTGAGAGGTGGCCATAGCCAGGAGGCTAGCAGAGTGCTTTGTAGCACAGCACTTGCCCGAGTGTGCAATATGTTAACTACAGCTGGGTCTGGCATAATCATCCCTGACTAATGGGTGGAGAGAGGAGGGGGTGCAAAGTGCTGAATAAATAAATTACTTAATTACATATTATCGGAGAGAAGAACAGATGGTCAGCTTAGCCCATCTCCCACTGCCTTTGGCTTCTGAATGGAGAGTGGGTCCTCAGAGACTGGAGGAGCTTGGGCTCTTGATTCTGTTTATCTTCTGGTCCTACTTGAGGCCCCCAGTCTTCAGGAACAAACAGGCCTCCTTTCCCCAAGGCTGGAAGGCATTGGGTGCTCTAGTGCCTACTCTAAGCTGAATTAGGACAGGCCTAAGCTGGTCAGCATTTTCCACTTTGTTGGTTTTGGCACCAGATGGAGGTGAAAATGATTTTGTTTCCTGTAAAATGGTTGAAAAGTGATTTTCAATTGAGGATCTAATCAAACGTGAAAGGGGTAGTTGAGCGTTTACTTAATGTGCTCAGGAGCATCTCCTATCATTGTAGACCGTATGCTTGTTTTCCTCTGCTTTGGAGGTCCCCATAGAGAGTCCACTTCTTTTTTTGAGTGTAGGTTGCTGTGGTGTTGGAGGGAAGGGTAGCTGGGGTTGTACTCTGGGAGCATCCTGTTTGTTTTCAAATGCTTCAGTTTGGCATGGTAGGGGCTGCAGAACAGTGGCTCCCAAACGCTCATCCGGGGATGCTTGCCAGGCTGGCTGCATCGGAATCACCTGGGTTCTTTGTTAAAGTTACATATTCCTTAGCTCCACGCATAGAGATTCTGATTCATTAGGTCTTGGGTAGGATGTGGAAATCTATTTTTCTAAAAGCTCCACAAGTGATTATAAAGCAAGTTTGGACATAACTGTGTTTCAGCTGGGGAACAGGAAACAGATGGTAAACCAAAAAGGGTTATGACATAGATTTTAACAATGGCCTGTTTACAAAGGTGTGGGCAAGTGTAAGGGAAAATCTTCAGAGATGGTGAGGTTCCCAGGGCCAGCAATGGTGGGAAACAGGTACAACAGGAGGGAGTGGTTATGAGAACCTGGTGAGACTTGCAGGTGTTAAGAGAGGACCCCTGGACAGGAACTGTGGACAGCCACCGTCATCCTGTGGTCCAGCAGGGAGGAAAATGAGAACAAATGCCCCAATCTGTCTCTCTTTTGATTTTTGATCTCTTCTTGGTGCTTTTCAGTGGCCAAATCCAAGGGGCCAGGGAGCCCAGTTGATGTAGTCTATAAAGGTTAGACTCCTGAGACAGAAAGCAGGATGGAGAAGGTTGGAGGGTGAACTTATAAGGATAAATAGAGAATATCTAGCACGCAGAGTATAGATAACATATTGTAGTTATACATTTGTGTGCCAATTTGTGGATGACAAATATGCCAATATGTTTTGTTCTATAGACATGCTTCTTTTCTCGGTGTAAATTGCCTCCACAGTTTCGTCACAGAAACTGTAAACTCTTAAAGAGCAAGGGTGACATCTGATAGAATTACCTTCCTGTGTTGTGCCTACAGTTCAGCCAGTTCATATGCTGCTTCTGGCAAGAGCTGCAAGGAGAATATTTTGGAAAATCATAATTGTCTGTCTGGCTGTCGACTTTAAATTTAGTGACATATTGGTAGGCTATTCTATTCTTTCTTACTAGGTAATTATGGATCTATCATTCTATATCTTTGAATTACTTATTTATACTTTCTGGGGAGCTATTTATATTTGTAACCAATATGGTCTTCATGTTGGTTATTCTCAACATATTTCCTTAAGAAACCACATATGTATATATCCTTAAAGGAACCACATTGCTTTTACTTCCTGAAAGATTACCTTCAGTTGTGTTGCTTTGTTTTGGTTTTATTTTTTGTATTTTTTCATTGTATTTAAAGCACACTTTTAATGACCAATTATAATTGTAACTCCATATCAGAAGGTTTGGATTAATTTTGATTTTAGTATGCTGTGCATGACGATTTAAGAAGTTATTGGTGTTTAGAGTCCCTCTTCATGCTAGACACTAACAGGTCAAAGACAGAGTCTCCTGTATCAGCTATTCACCAGGCAACCACTTGTGCTTGGTAGGGAGGCTCAAATCCTGGGTTTCGTAGGAGGCAGCCTGCAGTAGTGGTTAAGAGCAGGGATCCTGCTGAAGCATCACCGGGGTATTGTGAAATGTGAAATACAAAATGGCTTCACTCTGGTTCGGAGTTCTAAAATTGAGTTGGGAAGCCAGACTCAGAAGCACCACGTGCATGGCCTGGAACATTGACGGAAAAAAAAAAAAAAAAAAACCCAGGAACTTGGCTTGATCCTTTCAATGGGGCCAAATTGCCCTGGCCATAACCTTCTGAAATTTCAGCTGAATTTTGCTAGTGCTGCAGCTCTGGAACAGCAACAGCTGATGAACTATGGACTCATGAACTCATCCAGCCACCTCCGCCAATGATAATTCTTACAAAGCAACTTGTGTCAGCACACTTAGCCTCCTTTCCAAAAAAAAAATCCCTGCTTTCCTCCCTCTCTTTAGAACACAATTAGCTTCTAGCTAAAACAG